TTAAAGTGGCGGCGGCAGAAAATTAAGCTTCTGCTCCTCCTTTCAACTCTTGTGTTCTACTGCTTCTCCTCCCTYTTYCTCTTCTTTCCTCTTWCCTTTCTTCTTATTTTCGATCCTGAAATCCATTAGGGTTCAAGACTGATAACAGTCCTGAACTTCTACTGAGTCCAAGCCTAAGAACAGATCACTCTAATGTCTAATAAATTAATATATATTTCTGAAAATTCTTAATACATTATAGAGGGAAATCAAATGTTACTATAACTGCCAAACTTATGCTATACATAAAAATAACAAACAGATATTTACCTTCCACTCCACTAGTCCCCAGCCTTGTTTCAACATCACCTAGCAAGTGACAAACCAAATCATTAGCTCCAGAAAAAGAAACAGTAACATATGATTAAAAAATAGAACTCTTTCACCTTAAAGAGAATTAATGGCTAACTGTTGAACAAAATTCAAACAAAAAAACTACATAAATTCGTTGCATAAATTATGAGGTGTGACGAAACTCTACATGAAATTATAAGGGAATGGATGAGCAAAGCATGTCAATGCATCACCAAGACAAGAGATCAAACATCTCAGCTATTAGGGTGGCGAGGGAGCTAAGGGGTTATCAGTTATAAAGTAATAGTAGAGTGTTAATGGAATGGATTGAGGCAGAAGGGGCATGCCAATGTTCTGGGTCCAAGGCATTGTATATACCATTTTCTTTTCCAAATCTAATAAAAAATTTTTAATCAATAAGATCTTAGTTACTCATCTAGAAAAAGAGACAAGTGGGTTGTGAGACTAAAGTCACTAGACCCAACTATTAGTACCAAATGGATTAAAGTGGAAGCAAATGATTTAATGAAGAAAGAAAGGTGATAAGAGAATTGATCAAGAAAATAAGAGAGAGAGAGAAAGGAAATGGTATTAAGACTCATACAGTGTACCTCTCCGAATGATGCAATAAGATTTACAGGTCCTCCTGAGATTTCTCATATTTTTTCTGCAATTCCTAAAAGACTCATAGAATGTACCTCTTGGAATGATGCAATAAGATTTACAGGTCCTCAAGTTTTTCACATTTTTTCTTGGTATGTTTATGTAAAATTTTCTTTTTTTTTATATGATCCCAACTAGATGTCAAACTATGATTACTTATTTTTTGACTGTTAATTGTTAGTGATATAGATCTACTTTTGACTTTTTGGAATTGTTAGATAGGTTCTGGTTTCTGGAAAGGTAAGGTATTTTATTAAATCAAATAACAGTGCAAAGGAGCCTAGGCCAGTAAAGGCTGCCTAGAGCCACATAATAACAGTACAAAGTTTTGCTGCTTTTCGGTTAACTGTGTTTTCAATTTCTAGAATTCTTGGATGATTTTTCATTTGTGATAATTTTCATGGTACTTTCTACTTGAATTGAATTGATTTTTCTTGGTTTGTATGAGAAAAGTTGTTCAACTTACTTGCTTTGCATAAGAAAATGTTGTGCAAATTGCTCATGTGATCTATACAAGATAAGCTATTTTGGGATGGAGACAAAGATTCTCTTATGTTAAATTTTGATTGACTTTGTTTTTGTGTGGTTTGGGTTTTAATTACTTTTTGGTATTTAATAATTTCTTTCAAATTTCCTTTTGCCTTCAATATTTGTAGAATCAAGTGGATATGAGCTTTCTTTGTAGGTTTTGTTTATATCTATTGAACATCTAGATTTTTTGTTTACATTCATTTAAGAATTTTGCTTTGTGCTGGTAGTTTCGCAATCTCTAACCGGTACTTCAGAGGATGCTGCTCAAAACTGTAACTTCATGAAGAATTCCTCTATTTCAAAGGATGGGAGCTCACATTGAATACAGGCACCACCTAATCAACTAATAAGGTATCTTTCTTCCTCTTCATCGCTCTCTTTCTTAATTTATTTCATTTGTTACTCCCTATAAGTTGTATAAATTTGAGCCTCTCTCTTATGTTTACAGGAATGATTAAGAACCTGTCTTTGATTTCCAATTTTAGTTCATGGTTTAGGTTTCTGTTTATCTTGAGCCAATAAAATAAATTTTGTATGTTTTAAATTCATAATTTAGTCAACGATTCAATAGGACTGGGTTTTAGCTTTAGGTTGATGGCTTGATGATGATGCCACATTCAGCACATAAGCTGTTGATTTTATTATGTATATGTTTTTGTAGACTCAGAGACATTCCAGACCACTGTTTTAATAGCCATCTGTGTTTTAGTTTCAGATTGGATGATGCTGTAGCACTTAAACTGCAGTTGCTGGTGAAGTAGGGGTGTTAATGGATCAGTTTTGGGTTAGACTCCACCCAAATCAAAATCAATTTGGACAGATTGGACGGACCAATAAGACATATTGAATTAGACTGGTCCAAAATATTTATTGGATTAGATTGGACTTGGCCCATCTGTAATGGATTTATATTGGATTGGGTTGGATCAAACCAATATCTGGTGCATTGATAGAACATAAGAATACAGGTGTCAATCAACCAGGTTTGGGTTGGAGTCGATCTAAATTAAAAGCAATTTGAACAGATTGAACGGTCCAGACATTGAATTGGACTGGTCCAAAATGGTCCAGAGTATTCATCAGATTGGATTGGGCCTGGTCCATCTGTAATGGACTCATATTGGACCGGATTAGATTGGACTAAATTCAGTCCAATTGACACGCCTAGGTTAAGTTTTAGCCTTACTCATTATTAGCCATATTAGTTTTAGATTTAGACTGCCATCCAAACACAATTCATTGAAACCCCTATCTGTTCATATTTCATATTGGTTGTTAAAGATTTCATTATTTTGTTTGAATACTAAAATATTTATTGGATTGGATTGGACCTGGTCCATCTATAATGGATTTGTATTTGATTGGGTTGGATTGAACCGATATGTGGTCCATTTGATCAAAGATAAGCATATAGGTGTCAATGGACCAGGTTTGGGTTGGAATCTGATGAGGGCGGATTTGGCCCTCCAATAACTTCGTGACACATGGCATCTCGAAACAGCTGGACAACACCCAAACACCACCTAAGCGATGATTTGGAGTCCCAAATAGTAGTTCATCTTTGCCCCGACCTGGCGACCTACCTTTACCGCCGACCTGGCGACCTGCCTTTACCGTCGACCTGGCGACCTCGGCGCTAAACATGAATAAAACCCAGTCACCTCTTCGGCATGGGAAACTTAAGACCCAATCGCCTCTTCGGCATGGGCAACATAAGATCCAGTCACCTCTTCGGCATGGGTGGAATAAAAAAGCAGTTCGCATTCAGCCCCATCGGTGTGCAGACAGGTCGGGTACATATCGTTCAGCCTCAGCCTCGTTGGTGTGTAGAAGAAGAAAGAAAAAATGAAAGAGAGAAAAAGAAGTGAAGGAAGGAAGACTAATTTAGCACAAGAAAAAGAGACAAAGGAAAGACTAGTTCGCTTTCAGCACCATGATAGACGCAAGCTTGGCCGATCTCTTCACAGTAGACCTCCACCTCGGTTCAGGCTCCGCATCGAACTCACTGGCTGCTCTTTTGAGAACCAGCTCGAGGGACACTGCGTCGAAGTCTACCTAGGTGGAGCAACCTGATAAAGCAGTCACACAGAACCCCTTCTTGAGGACGACATGATGAACTTCGCTCTTGAGGAACCTAATTGGATTGCAGAACCCCTTGATGGTTGCATCCCTAATAAGGTAGATGTCCTCAGGGTACCTGTTCCACCTCTCCTCGAGTGGATGAATTTGCTCTTGTGCCCAAATAATCAAGATGCGCTGCGTGAAGCCTACGCCAAACAATGCCTATATAAAGGCACCAACCCCAATGACACAGGGTACACACGATTAAGTGCATTCTAGCTCTCCTATTTACCATTACTGACTTAAGCATCAGAGCAACCCTGCCGGGTTAGCCACCCCGGGTCCTCTGATTCCTCCTTTTCTTTGCAGTTCGAGCAACCTACTTGGCGACAGATGTCCGAGCTGTCTTACAGCTAGGAGCATCCAGATCGTGCACCATCAAAATCAATCTAAATTAAAAGCAATATGAACAAATTGGATGGTCCAGAAATTGAATTGGACTGGTCCAAAGTTTTCATTGGATTGGAGCAGACCTAGTCCATCTATAATGTACTCATATTGGACCAGATTGGATTGGACCAAATTTGGTCCAATTGACACCCCTACTTAACTCAAGATTTCTCATGGAGCAGGACAAAGGCAAGATATCTCGTGAGCTTAGATATAAAAGAAATAAAGATAATGCTTTATTCAACTTAATTAAATAAAGCCCCATTCCAACTATACACAGTTGGGCACAAAAGATAAATATAAATCTGTCCATCATGCACAATCAATATATTGTCAGGCTTCAAATTACAATAGACAATCCCTAGGCAAAGAAGATATACTAATGCAAGAACCTAAACCACTGTGTCACTTTTATAAGGTAAACTAACAAGAAAAGAATAAGCATACTACGATGTAATAAATTTTTCACATACAAGTTCAGCAATAGATTTGAGCAATGTCCTCTCCAAGAAACCAACTTTTCTATGCAAGGAGTAAAAATAACCTCCATTCGGATATTCCATAACCAGGTAAAAGTTATCCCTGTAGGGGAATGAATAAAAGAATCTACACAAGTAGGGGTCTAAACGGATCGAATTCGAATCGGATCAGGCAATATCCGAATTCGAATTCGATTAGAAAATCCGATATCCAAATTCTATTCAACACCCGATGGATATTGAAAATTAATATCCGAATTCGAATCCGATTAAATATTCGAATATTCGAATTCGATTAATTAATTATTTTAGATAATTAATAAATATATAAAATAAATATTTTATTAATATAAAATATATAAATATATAAATTATTTATATAACTTAATATATAAATTATATAAAATATTTTATATATTATATATAAGAATTAAATAATCGGTCGAATTCAGATATTTATCGAATCGAATCAAGTCATATCCGAATTCGAATCCAATTAACTATTCGGTTAGAATAGGATATCCGAATTTGACCGATTAGATATTCGAATTATCCGAATTCGATTTGATTATGTCGAATATCAAATTCGAAATCGGATTTTCGAATACCGTTGACACCCCTATACACAAGGAGTAAAAATCACCTCCATTCGGATATTCCATAATCAGGTAAAGGTTACCTTGTAGGGGAATGAATAAAAGAATCAGACCTGCAGAGTGCAGAAACAGAGACACAACGTTATTCTTTGGATATATTTTGTTGCTTCAAATCATACACAAGTTTGAAAAAAAAAATTATCATCTTCAATCAAACAACCAATTCTTAGGCTGGTAAGAGGTTCAATGTGAAATAAAATAATTACTATGAGCATCAACATGTAAAGGTATCAAAGTGAATGAGGGCATGAACAACCAGTATCAAGAGGTCTATCTCTTAAATTATTAAAGTAAATGAAAAAAATAAGTCATTTTAAATCATCAAAAAGCACTCAAAACACTAAAAATACATATAATATATATAATTGAATATATAAAGTAAGTGAAAAATAATACCTCTTCTGTATTTTGCAATGAAGCAACATCATCTTCTCTACTATAATTCTTATGGAGATCATCCTGGTCTGAATACCAGTATTATTATTGCTGCCAAAAGTCCAATAACTGCTAATTGGACAATTTCCTGTGCAGTTCCTTCTGTTTCTGTACTGCCCAGAAAGGTGGAACTCCACACAACAAAATGTAAGGATAATCCCTCATCAATGAAATTTTAGTGCTATCTGAAAACAAGAAATTCTCAAGCTTTAGGTCCCAATGCATCACCCAATGGTTGTAGCATAGCTGGATGACTTCAACAAAATATATATTTTGTGCTACATCTCTCTGCTAGATGCTTTAGCTTGAGTTAACAGATTCTAATTCGGCTCCCAAGGACCAGGTTGTGAGGCTTTCTGATGGAGCAAGAATCTGAAATATCCATTCTATTCCTCAAAGTCATCAGCATTTAATCCCAATTCATCACATGGAACGTAACCAACCTCCTGCATAAGCTTAGTCAATCCCTCCAATAATAAATAAATGTCTTGTGCATGGGGGCTTGATCTATCTCCAACCACAAATGGATAAAACCCACTGCCTACATTAATCCAAGCACAACCAGGAGCCTTCCTAACACCCAAGTCCCTCATAAATGTCCGCACCTTTGCAAGCTTGCTCCAACACCCTGCAGCTGCATACATGTTAGCAATCAAGACGTAGTATCCAGAGTTCTCAGGTTTCATCTCCAACAATTTCTCAGCTGCCCATTCCCCAACCTCCACATTCCCATGGATGCGACATGCCCCTATAAGTGTTGCCCACATGGCGGGGCTTGGCCTAAAAGGCATCATTTTGATGACCTCCTCTGCCTTTCTCAGCAAACCAGCCCTCCCAAAAAGATCAACCATGCAGGCAAAGTGTTCAAATCGAGGATGTATTCCATACAAGCTTGTCATTTTCTCAAAGAGCATTTGGCCTTCAGAAACAAGACCTGAATGACTACAGGCTGATAAGATTGCAATCATTGTAATATGATCCGGTTTGATCATAAGCTTATCCATCTCCTCAAAAAGCTTTAATGCAACTTGTCCCTCCCCCTGAATTCCATATCCAGCAATCAAAGAAGTATAGGTGACTTCGTCCCTTTTATTCATTAAATTAAATACTCTTTGAGCTTCCAAGATTTTCCCAGATTTTGAGTACATGTCAACAAGAGAATTCCATACTAGCAAATAGTCCTCAAACCCTCCACGCTTAGTTATATAACAATGAAGCTCCTTACCATGTTGCAAATTTGCTACTCGAGCACAGAGTGGAAGAATGCAGGCAATCGTCACATAATTTGGTTCAACTCCAGTTGATAACAGTTCTCTAAATATGAAGGCAGCTTCCTCAGATCGATCTGAGGAAGTGAAACCTGAAATCATGGAATTCCAAGTGATTAAACTCTTAAATTCTATCAGTTGAAACAATATGTATGCATGTTTCAGGTCCTTACACCTTGAATACATGGTAATCAATGCATTTCTAACAGTTTCCACCCTATCATTACAACTACGAACAGCAAACCCATGAATCTCTCTCCCAATTGTTAAGAACCCACCTCGAGAACATGCACCCAAACCAATGACTACTGTAACAGAATCTAAGCAAGCACAACGACTTCTCATTTGTGAAATCAAATCAAGAGCTCCCTTATAGTCGTGAATCTGCAGACGCCCTCCAGCTATGGTATTGCAAGTAACAATATTCACTTCAGAACATTCTATCTGCATCCTTTCAAACAAATCAAAAGCTTCTTGCCACATACGTTTAGAAGCGTACCCAAAGATTATCGTATTCCAAGAAACAACATCCTTTTCTGGCATTTTATCAAACAATGCACGTGCAACACCAATCTCTCCGCATTTTGCATACATGGAAATCAATGCATTCTGTACAAACAAGCTCCATTCAAGGCCGCTATCATCAATCGACCTATGTATCTCCCTCCCAAAACCCAAATCAGATTCCTCAGCACAAGCCTTGAGAATAGATGGATAGGTAAAATTATCAGCCCTGATACCCTTGCACAACATTTGTTTATAGGCCAAAAGAGCCTCCTTAGAAAGCCCATTTCTAACATAGGCAGCAATCAATAGATTCCATGGCAAAGCATGCAAAATATTAGAATTCTCAGTTATCGCATGAGCCTCAATGAGGTAATCAAAACTCGAGTAGAAGGTGACAAGCTTGGGAACCAGAAGAAGGTGTTGTTCAAGACCCAAGGAAATGATATGGGCATGTAGTTGTTTTCCCTCTTGGAGTGATTTAAGGCTGGTGCAGCACAAGAGAAGAGAAGAGAGGGGTTCTATGATAATGTCACGAGAAGAAGCAGCATGGAGCTGCAGAAGAGAGAAGGTCTTGAAGGCCCTAGAAAGGTGGCCTTGGCTTGTAAAGGTTTTGAGAGATGACTGAAGAGAATCTATCAAAGATCCCTCCCTTGATGAGTAACCTTCCATACAAGATCCAGAGGAGTCCGTGACAGATTCGTTGATTACATAGCATGCCATTTGATGATTCTTGTGGATATCTAATCTCCATGTCTTGGGAATGAATCGTTGGATGTGTGACTGGGACAAGGATCTCCAGAGAATGGGAGAAGACGACATCAAAGTTACGCTTTCATTTAGATTCACGTCAACCACTGCTATGTTTTTCATTTGATCTTGTTGGGACAAGGGTCAAGGGACAGCCGTTTTCTTTGAACGATTATTTCTGTCCACTTCCAATTTCCCATTTCCCGTTTAAATCCTGTGCAGAAAATAAAGGAATCCTCTTATAACAATCCTCTTCTTATTCAATTCAAAGCTGGAGTAATTCAAGAAGCAAAAATATCATTAAAGTTACGCGCTGACATTTATTCCAGGGGAATTTACGCACTGTTTTAAAATGTGACATATCCCAATTTTAGAAATACGACAATCTAGTACCAATTGTCAACGTACCATCACTTATATATATTTGAAAATATCAAAATTACCCTTAGAAATAAAATATAATGTTCGTCATCTTTTTCTTCAACGAAATAGAGCCCAAGTTCTTTATCACAAACACCACAAATAGAGTCCAAGCTGCAAAGAAGACTCCCCAAGTGCAAAAACAAAGCGCTTATAAAAAAAATGCCAAAGAAAAATAGAAACTATAAGGAAAACAACGATCAAAGCTCTTCTAAGACAAAATTATTCAGAATACTGAATACTATCAAATGACGAGGAAAAAAAGTTGCAAAGAACTCATCTCTATAACCTCCTCTTCTCCTTCTATCTTGTCATCGCTATTGTAAACAAATCGAGTAATCTTCCTTGTGTTTACTCTAGCATTTTCTTCTCCCACACATTCATCTTGCTCAGCCCTTCGCAGATTTCATCCACAAACGGTCCTATCTCTCCATCTTCTTCCTCTCCATTGTAATCTTCTTCTCCATCTTCAATGCCATCTTCTTCATTGATGTCTTCACCTTCATCATCTTCTTTAATACTACTTGCGTTAGCCTGAAGAGTCGTCTTCATAGATTGATTTCTCTGGATAGTCATCACTCCCTACTTGGTATGTCAATACAGATGATCATTCTGAGGAATCAGATATTTCTCATTTTTTAGAGAAATCCAACAGTAATGATCGAGTGATGAAATTCTTTTTAGATTCAAGAGTCTCTTCTTTTGTTCCAACCATGTCGATGTTCGACGGAATGAATGTATTGAAGATAACATTGTGGGGTCTGTGTTCAGAGTCTTTCGACTTCCAACCGCTTTCCCTTTCCCCTCCACCTTCGCCACTCTCTCCGTCACCCTCCACCACTTGTAAGTTCACTCTTTACCCCAAGCTCTGTCATTCCATCCTATCGGCCTTCCGCTTTTCTCCCTCCAACCCCTATGATTACGGCAGCTTCTTCGTCAATCTAGCTAGGAAGACCTCCTATCTGATCGGCCGATACCTTAACCACAATCAACGCTCCACTCTAAGCCACATTGAGGCCGGTGTGCTAGACGACTGTCGACAGTTGTCTGATCTCTATGTGGACTACTTGGGGACTATCACCATAGAACTGAACTGTGCCAAGTCACTAACGGATGACCTGGTTGACCAAGTCCAGACCCTGTTGAGTGCCATAGTGACAAACTAGCAAACACGCTTTCATGGGCTTCAAGCTTATGGGAGTGCCATGATGGGTGCCCTATATGCACCCTTTAGTAATGCCACTTAGTTGTATAGCATTTCACTTGGGTTGGTGACTCAGGCTCTGACTCGACGGAAACACCGAGGAAGAGGAAGGAAAACGAAAAACAAGTGAGGTGGAGTGATTTCTATCAGGAAACTAACTTTTATTGTTCAGAAAAATTTGATGGCCCTGATTTTAGCGGATGGTTAGTAAAGAAAATTAAATGACACTTGAAAGATATTTGTGTCTTTTCAAATGCCACACAACGATAGAGCTTTCCTTAGCACGTGTGACACCACTTACAAATGATTACTTGACACACTTGAGGCACCCATATTCTGCAAATGCTCAACCTGGTGACGCAATTGTGCATTCTCTTTCACTAACGTATGGTTCTAAGCCTTGGCTACTTGCAATTCCCTCTCAAGAAAACATGTTCTATGGTAGTATTGTTTGAAGTCGTCAAAGTTAACATCCTTAACGTGGATGTGTCACATTGATTTTAGATAACAGATTGCATTTATGGATGCCAATTGTATAGACGATACAGGAGTAGGAGATAAATCCCCTCAAAAAGACATCTCTTCGCCATTAACATTCAGTGACGATCACTTGACAGAGACTGTCAATCTCACTTATAAGCCATTCAGGCCGTCCGAGCTACAATGTTTCAAGGATGGGTTGGAGGATTTCCCTTAGCGAGACCGTCATTGCTACCAATTTCTCCATTGAAAACTCTGAGCACATCGAAGGTAAATGAGGGTGGTTTTTGTCGTTAAAATTAATTAAATATATGTATATATGTATATATATATATATATATATAAAGAAATATATATATATGATGCTAATATGTATTTTTTTTTTGACAAAACTGCCCACCATGCCACCACAATATATGTTTGAGGTTCTTAAATTACTGATTTTCACACTAAAATTAGGTTGTGTTAACACTTGAAAACATTCACAGATACATGAATACACAGGCAAACACTATTTTGACAATTTTTACTCCACTAATCTGACTTTGGGGCTTCGTCCACGTGTTCCGCAACCTAGGGTTGTAACTGATGGGTCATGTAAACCCTTCCTTCACATGATCCAGTCAAAAAAACATCCCCCTTAATACCCCTACATCCTACCGATATTCCATTGCAAGGTCTGGACATGAATCTTTGCCAAAGGAATCTCAATAAGTGGGTAGAGAAGTTGGTGTTCCGGAAAATTTTGCACCGCCAATGTGACTTTGCAAGCATTGTCTGCCACTGTCCGCACATGTCACAGCCTAGGGTTGACATGTCTGGGCCATGCAGACCCCATTTTTCAGTCCACCACTCCCTTGAGAGCAATAGAGGTGAACCCATGCAAGAGGAATCGAATTAAGTGACAGATGTGTAAAGGTTCAGATTTTGCAGCGCCAATGTGATTTTCTGGCCATCATCCGTGCTTGTCGCAGCCCGAGGTTGTGACCGATGGATCATGTAAACCATCCTTTATTGTTCCAACCTCTTATTGCACTCATGGAAGGTGAACCCCAGCGAGAGAAATAGGTGTCCAAGGGTTACCCATCACCCTCTCTAAGGTTGTGACTATAGGACCATTGCATAACAATTTGCTTGTACATGCAACTGAAATTGTTAACCACCACCCAATCCCACGATACCGAGAGGTGCTTAATGGATTCTTACCTAATATATGTGTTTCACAAAACAAGAATAATGATTAAAACACAATACCTTAACCATTTATATATCAAACGATTAATACTTGTTCAAAATGTAAGTTCAACAAAAAAAAGCATAAACAATCCTTGAATAATTGGTTCTGCATGGGTCATATATGCATTAAGGTGAACATGACCATTCACTTCTGGCTCTTAAATATATATGAAAATACAAATACAACACAAGAAACATAAATTTCTTCATACCTTCCAATAATAGGTTGGAGTATAATAACAAACTATGCAATACATAAACAAACAGGTTGGAGTAAGATAATGTAATTTACATAAATATCCCTATATTATCATATGTTATAGATTAGAATAATTTATAAATTAACTTGGTCAACTAGCACTAGATGCAAGCTATAACCCTTATTATAAGTTCTAAGCCCAACCTCACCTGATCCCACCCATTGTTCACCCTTAACATCTCCACCTTTTTATCCATCTAGGATGGAATGGCCATGCATTTCTATAAATCAAACTCGAGCATCTTTGTTATTTACCACAATGTTGGAAAAATGTAATAAAATAGGAATACAAAAAGTTGAACATTAAAGAAGAATATCTGAAATCTAGGATAACTACAATTTGCTTCAAGTGGAAAAACCGCCTATCCTTTGGATGATGTGATCTTCCTTGTCACAAATCCCAATATTCTTTGGCCTTCTTCATGCCCTTTTTCACTAAATCATCAATTTTCTTTATATAAAATGGAGCAATCAAAAAATTGCACAAAAAACTTAACCAATCATTTAGTACACGTTGCTTCCAAGATAATAAGAAACTTTACATCTTTCATTAATGGCAAATTAATTGCTTTCTTTGGTGATTTAATGACTAAGATGATAGGTAAACTTGAGTGCTAACCCAAAAAAAAAAAAAATGATTCCAATTTATCTAAGCAAAGCATATTAGAAATCCTGAAGTAAAACTTACAAAACTTTGTATTTTACATGAGATGATAGCTAGCTAAACTCATTTATGAACTTGTTTTTGCAAAATATCTCTTATTTTGATAATTGTGAGACCACAATAACATGCAAGGTAGTATTTAGAAATTGGAATTTCTTGCTTTTGCAAAATGTTTTAAAGCCTGGAGCTTTGTCTCTTCCTCCAACCAGTGTTTTTGAATCGCCATTGACCAAGATGGTTAGACCATTTGGACTAGAAGCCAATCACTCCACCAGTTCTATTTTTTACCCCAAACTGGTATTTAGCCAAAAAATGTTGAATTGGTTTAAGAACCATTGACCCAAATGGTTGAACCATAAACCCGTTCGACTCCAGTAGCACATAGCCATTCAAATTTTAAAATTATTTTGATTTGATTATTTTATTTTAACATGAAACAGAAATAGGAAAATGACCATTGAGTCACAACTTACATTCAATAGTTGATACCTTTTCTTTAGGGTTTATTTTAATAGTTTAACTCCTTAGATTGAAGAAGAGAACAACAGTCAACCACCCACCAGAGTTTTCGAAACAACCATCAATGATACCATGATTTGCGGTGGAAGTCGGTGACCATAATGGAAGGGATTGTAGTGATGACTACCGGGTAAAACATTCAACTTTTTTTGTTTTTATTGATTTTCTCTCAAATCTCTACATTTTAGACATTTAAGCTATGTTTGATTTGAAAGAAAATGTAGAGAAAGGAAGGAAAAGGTGGGGAAGCCTATACAACCTTAGTTACTTTATTATCTCAATTGTATTTTTTTGCAACATTTGATTTTCTTGCACCGTTGTGCCACCCAACAAGTATTGGGTGGAAAAAATCTCTACAATAGCCATTGAAGCCGACAACCACCGCAAGAGCCAATCAAATAGGTGGTGGAATCTCATTTCCTTGTCTTCTTTAAAGTTTAAATGGGTATTTTCTATCTATACCCTGTATATTCTATGTTATTTTCTTCGTTCTTAAGATTACAAAAACAAA